TTTTAGTTTTAGTGCATTCATTTGTTAATGTTTATAAAAGCTTTATCGTTTTACATTTATTTTATGAAACGTTCATCCACTTAAACGGAGATGTGGGCATTAGCAAAATAAGAAAATTAAAATGCTCTCAATTTTATTCTACTGAAGGAAAGGTTAGAAATGAGAGTATCAGAAACAGTTCTGCTTGACTTAGCTGAAGTTGGTTTGTTTCCAGATATGATGCCATGGAATATTATAACCGCATTCCAGAACTGAAGCAAGTCATTGATCAGATCTCTGGAGGATTCTTCAGCCCTGGAGAGCCTGATCAGTTTAAAGACATTGTTAAGATGCTGATGCGCCATGACAGGTAAGAAAAACAACAACAACAACAAATCCTAGTGCTATGTCTCTCTTTTCATTTTATATTTTAATTTTTTGGATATCTCTGTCCTTTTCATTCCCTTTCTCACACAGTCACAGTTTAACACTGATCATATAAATTGCTAAAAATGTTGGTTGTCTGGTGTGATCGCAGATTCAAGGTGTTTGCTGACTATGAAGACTACATTAAATGTCAGGAGAAAGTCAGCGCCCTGTATAAGGTTTGTATTACAAAAAAACATCAAATGTTTCGGCGTATTTCAGGTAGTCTCTAGCCAAAAGCCTTTAGTTTGGGGTAGGTAATATTTATTGTTTTTGAATGAAATCTCTTAAACATCCTGAAAAAAAGTATCACAAGTTCAACAAAAATATTAAGAAGCACTATTTTCATCAGTTGATAATAATAAGAAATGTTTCTTGAGCACCAAGTCCAGCATATTAGAATGAATTCTGAAGGATCTTGCGACACTGAAGATTGAAGTAATGGCTGCTCTAAATTCAGCTTTGCAGGAATAAATTACATTTTAAAATATATTAGAATAGAAAACAGTTATTTTAAATGGGTAATAACATATTTCTGTCAGGACCACTATCGTCAAAGATGATTGAAAATTAGCATACAGTTATGATTGCCGGTATGGTTCTGTTCTGGGCAAGAACAGAACCATACCGGCAATCATAACTGTATGCTAATTTTGCGAAAACTGCTGATAATACTGAGGGACCTTATATATGAATGCTTAGATAGGTGTCGTATTCCTATAGGTAGATGGGGATCAGCTGAGAGTCAGCTGATGCGAGCTTGACTAACGTGACCTGCCAGAACCAGTTTTTACTGTGTTTTTCCCAAGTATTTGAATTGTAGTGTATGTGAACAAGACGAGTGGTTCATATTTTTGGTCCATTTTGCCTGAAGAAGAAGACTGTACATTTTAAATGTGTATATGTGCATACGTTTTTATTTAATTAGGAATACACTCCAATCGGGGCTTTAAATTCAAGATGGCTGTTCCATCAGTGACAGAACACAAGTTTATTTGGAAATATGTCATATAATTCACTTCTAATTTGTTCGAAACTTGCTCCTCTTCCTCATTCTCAAACAGAATACTAAAGAATGGACCAAGATGGTCATCCACAACATTGCTGGCTGTGGCAAATTCTCCAGCGACCGCACCATCGCCCAGTATGCTCGTGAGATCTGGGGCATGGAGCCTAGTCTGGAGAAGATCGCAGCCCCAGACGATCCCCGCTAAGTTGTTCCACAACAACAAAATCTTCCTTTTGTTATAGCCGTTCTCACATTCAATTTATTTACCATTGTGAAGATGTATAAAGGTGATTTTAACAGTGACATGTTATAGGAGATGTTACTCCATCTTGCCGTCAGACAGCCAGAATACCTCACAACTTCTCTGCTTCCCTGTTCCAGCGACAAGCTGTCAGCACATCTAGCTTTGTGGCATGTTTATATACAGTATATGTCGGTGTAAGAATGTTTTTTTTTCTGTGAAATATTATGAAAAAATATGATGTATTTGTCTATCCATGCCAGCAGAACAGCACAGCTTCTTCCTGCACAACCGAATATACACTGTGAGAGCAAAGTATAGCAAAAATTATTTTGCCACACAGCATGATGACTGTTATGGAAACAGTTTGAGAAACCACCATTTTTTTTTTCTTTTGTGTGTGTGTTGTGTTCAAATTTTTGACTCATGATGAAAGATCATTTATACTCTATTTTAGTTTCCGACAGGCAGTTATTACGTGAACAGTCCAAGCTTTAATGAGTTCAAATATGGTACAATAACAGTCGTAACCAATATAAAATACCTGTTGGGATGTCCGTCATGTATTCTGACTGCTCGAAACTACCTGCCTTAACCATACGAGTGTTGTTTGTGTATGTTTAGGTCTATATCTCTGCCTGTGTTTCATTGGCCTGTTGTTGCTCATAACTTGTTCTTCCACCCGCAGAGCTCCTCACTTTAGCACTTTAGGCACGATCTGTCACTTTTGTCCTCATGAAGCGTCGTGCTGTAGTTCTTTCCTGTTGCAACTCTGGGTTTCACACCACACAAAATAAGACCTGCAGGAATGATGGGGTCGTGCAGAAAACTTTGCTTGAATCCAGTGAGGTAGCAAAACTAATATAGCACTGAAGTGTGATTCTCCATACTGGCCAGGCTGTGCTCAAGATTCAGAAATGTATTTACTCCGATATATTATGATAGACTTGTGTATTTAGAATAGGAAACGAATGTACGGTGCAGTGCTTTTTGAATTGCAGGAAGTGACTATTTAGCAGACAATACTTCAAATCCGCAATTAAACTAGATATAAATTCCTGGTTTAGTGATAATGGATGGTGGTCTATTTATGTCTCCCCTACATGGACTTAACCTAACCTGCAACTTATTTTGTTCGCAGCTCCAGCTGCCACCATCCCCTTCATTCCCCTTCTTTGTTCTCTCTCAATGTTATTCCTGTATTGTGGGTGACAACACACACCAAACAGTCCTGCTGATGCCCTTGAAGAGTGACAAAATGAAATAAAGTGATTAAGTGATTAATCGCTGTTTTTGCTTTTTGCAAGTATTCTTATGTTCGTCTTGCAAGTGACTTAATACAGAAAGGTTAATGTACACTATCATTAAAAAGTGAGATTTTTTTTATTGTAATATAATTTCAAATGTAATTTATTCCTGTGATGGCAAAGCTAAATTTTGTTATAATGGTCTTTTCTCTCACTTTTGATCAATATATCCTGCATCCTTGCTGAATAAAAGAATCAATTTGAAAAACTTAACACACACACACATATATACAGTGTTGGGAAAGTTACTTTGGAAATGTAATAGGTTACAGATTACAAGTTACCCTATTTAAAATGTAATAAGTAGTGTAACTATTTCAATTACTTTATTAAAGTAATTTAACTGATTACATTTGATTACTTTTCTAAATTTCTAATAAGTGTTAATGAACTGTTAATCATTTTCAAACATTTAAACCAGGCAGGGTTAACCCTACAGTAGTACTCAATACTTATTACTGTCAGACTTTCAAAATACTGAAAAATCCACTTGAATTAAGATTATAAAAAACAAAATTTTATAGCGCAGCTACCACAATATCAGACTTCAGCACCTCTTTTTACTTTGAGGTCATTCTGAGGTTAAATACAGATTTAAAATCATAAGATAGTTTAAAGATACTGTTTTTGAAATCAAATTTTTGCACAGAAAATATATCAGGAAACACTGGCATCAAACAATGCCCTGGAAAAAACAGTTAATCTTAAAAAATAAAGCATATAAATCAACCGAAATAGAAAATAAAACGAGTTTTTGAATAAGCATATGTCCTATTCTGTGACCTAAACTCCTGAAACACTGATGTCTCATATTTTAGAGCTGTCTATGCATTTTGGGAAAGAAATCAATTAAATCTGAAAATATTCAGATGTAACCCCCTTTGTAATTGTTAACATTTTCACAAGTAACTGTAATTTCATTACACATTTTTTTTCTCAGTAACAGATTACAGTTACATTTATATTGTAATTAAATAAAAAGATAATTAAATAATAAAGATACTCCACAACACTGTAGGCCTATATATATATATATATATATAGACTATTTTATCTTTTCTACAAAGTAGCTCAGTCATTCTTGAGAAGTGGGACAAAACAGGGTGCAAAATTGAAAAAATAAAACCTTGTACTCAGACAAATGAAAGTTCATGTAGTAGCCATTTTATTTTTTTTCTGTTGATGCTAGATGCTAATGGAACCTGCTTCAGGAGAATAAAATTATCTAAATATTTCAAATAATTTCCTCAGAAATTGGAAGATGGTGTTGACATATCATGGCTGTGACACAGGAAATATTAACATTAGGATTTAAAATATTCTAAAACTATAAAACTTAGAGCCTGTCTGAAACTGATGTACGCTGCAGAGGTGAACTGTGGCAAGGGGGTCCTTTAGAGTGACAGCTGCCCCTGATATTCCCTGATTTTATTACATTTTATTGAATGTCTGACGGTGTTGACAAAAAGTGGGGACGCAACTTTAAAATCTTATTAAACATGCATGTGTCATTAAAAACAACCTTGCTTTGATAGGAGATATTATTAAGTGTTGCTTTTGATAAAACAAGCTCTTTTTCATCATTACAAAAACATTTTTATCCATTTTATTGCATATGAATGATTGAACTCTTCTCTGTGGAAACACTGTTTTATATGTAGTGAGAGGACATTAAGAAACAGATTTGGTATAATAATGAGAAAATTAAATTGAAGGTGATAATTGTGTTAAATACATTCTATTATTTATCCCTCATGACATTTACAATTGAAAATATTTTTATTTTTAAACCTAATAGCAGTTACCCTTGCTGGACCTGTTTTGTCCCATGTCTCAAGAATGACTGAGCTCTGAAATTATTTTCCACGTAGTCTCTCAATTAATATGAGGTCAACAACTGAAAATGTAACTACTATACAATAATTAGAAAAAATGCTTAAAATTGTTTTTCTGAAGAACTTTGTTGTCACTGTCACTATGAGTGCTGCTGGGTTGAATTGAACTATTTTCAGTAACTCCCCAAGACGTTGGATGGCGCTATTGACCTCCAAACACGTGATGTTCAGCCGTTCACGTTTTTGAGGAAGGGTAACAGTTATTGAACTAAAAAACCTCAGCGATGCATCGGTACACCTTCCTCTTTCACCTTTATCACATGCGAAAGGTCCGTGCGATCAGTCTGAAGACATCCGTGGTGAAGAGGTTGTGAGATGCTTTTGCCGGGTAAACTGTGACGCACCAGTTGACGGAACTGGCGGACAGCTGTGGAAGATTACGTCGGCATCGCTTAACCGAGGGACTTTAAAATCCAGATCACAAGATTTGGTGCCTCAGTAAAGTCCACTACTAACTAATAGCGACCACTACTACGCAAAGACCCATAGAGGTATGTATCAGACTTTTTTTTGTTCGGATCCAGCCAACTGAATCACTTGGACTGATCGAATCATTCAAAAGAATGAATTAGCATTAGTGTCGAGACAGATAACTAGGATAAATGGCAGCTGTGTGTTTAGATGAGGTAAAACATCCAAAGGGCAAAGTGTTATTAGCTACTTCAGCTGATCAAACAGAGGACATCAATAAATGGGTCACATTATTGCTCTAATTCTGCAATAATTGACAAACTATCTGTTAACTTTAAAATCTGGTCAATAAAATAAGAGGAACTACTCAAAAGTCCTTATACGATGATGGTGTGTTTTTCCCATTTATATAAGATGGTTTGTAAAATGTTTGTGGCGCAAGATAAAGGAAGTGGTAGTGTTTGAACTCTGAGTGAGTTTTACTATCATAATTTCAGAGAAGCCCAGTCAAAAGGTGGTTGACCGAAGCCTCACTTTGCAGGAGGTTAGAAACCGGAAAACCGGTTCTTATGCATTTTAATAGTCTGACAGTGTTTCCTGCACTACTTACTCGACTTATACTAATACTTACACCGCCATTGGCAGTGTAGAGCGATTGACGAACAAATGACTCTTATCAGCCGTCTTTAGGCAATCAAAACATACAGCGGGACCATTGTATCCCGATTTGTGAACGAATGACTCGAATGAGCCGATTCTTTTTAGTGAATCAGAAACAAACAGCGCGACCAGCGTAGCCCGATTCCTGAACGCTAGACTCGTATGAATCAATTCTTCATAGATTATCAATGACATTCCGACCAATGGAATTTAGTGACCAATGTAGTCATTAAAAGTCTTGATAAACACACCATTTACAAGAATTGCATCAGGTTTATTAGTGATTTGTCATATCTGCTCTGCTGAAAAGATGTCATAATTTCGCAACAGACTGAGGACGATACATTTTTTGTTAACTCCCTCTCAGTCTTCTATGACCTTATGTTCTCTCTGCTCTGACAGGGGTGATGATGGACAACGGAGGATTTTGCAACGATAACTATCACAGTGGAAGCAGTGATGATGAGCTGGTGGATATTTCAGATGTTACAGTGAACTTCAGTGAGGATGTCCCGCCTCTGGACCGAGATTACAGTGCAGGTAGGGACGCAGGCATTACAGAAGATAATATGAACTAGTTATAGTGGACACACTATACTTTTTTAATTTTATTTTTAGCTTTTATCATAGAACTTTATGCTTTTGCAAGATTAACTGGTTTGTTTTGGTGTTTAGGTTTTTTGTTGAACAAACATTTGATCGATAAAGCATAGACATTTACAGTTTGAATGGAGTATCACACACTGGTTCTGTAAAACATGTAGGTCTAATCTTTCAGCCGTGTCAGTTTGGTGGGGTCCGATCACACTCTTCTCTGCGCAGAGACAGATGATGCTGTGTGTGATGTCACTTACAGACTGTTAACATACCAGGAAGTTCCTTTTTCATGTCTGTATTTCACAGTCTATACCTTCTTCCTCGTATCACACTTCCTTCTTGTCTGAAACTCTTACTGTGATAGAACTGTTTTCCCTTAACCTTGCTAAGCTTGATATATGAAGTAATAGTCAGAAAATCTAGTTTCTTGGAAATGGAATTGTTTGACAAAATCTTTAAAAAAAAAATCTAAAAGTTTGCATATGTGTTTTTTAACGAGTATCATATTTGATGCAACAGGTTTTTATGGTTCGGAAGATCCACTGAAATGGTGGAAGTTCCACAAAGTAAACTTCCCTAGGCTATGCAAACTAGCACAGAAATATCTGGGCATACAAGCAACAAGCTCTGCATCAGAGAGAGCTTTTAGCACTAGTGGTAATGTTGTGTCGAATCATCGCTTCTGTCTGAAACCAGAGAAAGTGGATATGCTTGTCTTTTTGGCAAAGAACCTCTAATTTGATAAGTTTAACTGTTTAGAAAGAGGATTTGGAAGTACCAGTTGGTCATTTAAAAAAAAAAAAAGATTTAGTGGTTTGAGTTTGATTGAGTGAACCACAATTTTATATCCAGTTTCCTTTTCAAAAGAGTTTATACAGAGTATATGTTACATCCTGCGTAAATGTCCCTGTTTGTTTGGACAAAATGTTTAAAATATCTTATTTTTGTGAAAATGTGTATGTTTTATTTAATTTAGCTATACTTTTGAGAAAATAAGTTTACATTAATGCAAATGTCATTTCATTTTGTAAAAATAATTTATTTTGAAAACATTTTTAGTTTTACAAATACACATTTTAGCATTATCACTAATCTGTGTGTGCATTTTCCTTAAAAACCCATCAAGTTGACTCATGATACCATTTATTATAATCGCAATCGCATATCGCAATATTGACCTCAATAACCGCAATATGAAAATTTTCCCAAATCGTGCAGCCCTAGTTCGTATGATATAGTGAGAATATGGAGCTCCTCAAGGAATAATAAAAAAAAATATTCGGAGGCCCAAACTGAGCAAAAATATGCAATTTAGTGCAGTTGCTGACATTTAATTGGCCAAAAAGATGAAATTCTGATAGCTTGTAATGTAACTCAGTGAGATCTTTATAACAGTATAGAAGGCTATTTACATAAACTGCATATAAACATCCCAATAATATGGCTTAGCAAGATAATATTTAAATGCTTAAATTATCAAAGCTCTGTAGTTTTTATTGTTGGGGGCAAAACAAAATGTGTTGCAAGATGATGCTGATTGAGAGATATACAAATAAAAGCTCCTCTACAGCCTATTGTATCATTTTTGATATTGACTCACATTCTAACAAAAACATTTTTTTGAGTATAAAAAAAAAGATGAATGGATAATCAAGTAATGATCCATTTTTTTTTTATCTGCCATGCATGGGATAAAAAAAAAAAAAGATAATTGTGACTGTTTATCTCACAATTCATACTTTTTTTCTCTCGCAATTCTAAGTATTAATATAGAAATAACTCCAAATTGCAAGAAAAAAAGTACGAATTATTAGATAAAAAGTCGATATAAAATAAGAATTTAACTTTTTTCCTCACACTTTCCGTGTTTGCATTTCACAATTCTCAGTTTATTTTCTCAGAATTCTGAGTTTCTGAGTTGCAGATTACCTTTACCTTTATTAATTTATTTTTATCCCATGGCGGAAAGCTTCTAAAAATTTTCATTTTGAAATGGATAACAATATAAAAGTTATTCTTAAGTTTACTTTATAGAAACCGGTGAGATCAGTGAGAGATCAGTGACATTGATAATATAATAAGTATTTTGGAGAGTCTAGCTCATGGAGACCGAACCAAACTGTGTCACCTCAAATCTGTTTTAAGTTTACAGCATGCATGATTTGATTAGACTGATAAATGTACGAGGCAGACATAAGTCACTGTGCTAGGCAGGAAATGTAGTTACAGCCATCGTGTGCATTTTACCACTTCTTGTTGAAGTATGAAGCTTGTCAGAACAAGTCACATGACCCGTTGCTCAGTATTCATTGGAATTATGTCAGCACAGTTATCCTTTAAAGATATCAGCAACGTTTGCATAACTTCATTTCATGTAAGAACGATTTGAAGAGTTGAAGAACTGAGAGGAAGTAGATTGAAAGTTCATTTTAGGTTGAGCTGCTGTTTTTCATGGTGAACTTCTCTATTCTCTTTCCTTCTCTTGCTCAGTCTTTACTCTTTCTATTAATTTTGGTTTTGTCCTTAACTGGATCAGAAGTAAAAGACCCAACATATGAGATCAAAGTGAACTGAATGACACCATGTACTACAGAATAATAATAAAAGCACACATACTCATTTTACAGAGCTGCTGCTTCCTCTTAAACCCCCACGCTTTAAACATCTCTAGTCAGACTCAAATAACGGTTTATGGGTCAAAGTACACAATGCTCCCTTAACCTTATTTCCCCATAGATCTATTTTGAGCGCAAAAACTTCCTGTTTAGCCTATTTGAGTATGATTTATTTTAGACATTCAAACATTAAAAAAGACAACCAAAAAATCAAGTGCAAGATTAAAAACAAAATTTTTTTTTCATACTGATGAATGGCAAACGTTTTGATTACAACATGATCTTCTCTTGCACCTGTAATTAGGCTCTTAAGTTTCTGTTGTGACCAGAATGTTTGCTGTTCCTCAGCAAATCTGTGTTTTTTTTTTTTTTTTTTTTTTTTTTTTTTTTTTGGTTGTCTTTTTTCACCTTCATAGTGTGTGGACCTTTTTTGCAACTTTTTTCCTAAAAATGTGTTTTTTTTGTTTTTTTTTGGCATTTTATTTATTTATTTATTTATTGTCATATTTTTTTGTTTTACAATGTTTGGAGCTTAGAAGTAGTCTCCACTCCTTGGTATGGAAAAGAGTAGCTTAAACGTTCTGCAAAATATTTTCACTTGTGCTTCTCGGAAGAAAGACGTTCCTACAGGTTTGCAGTGACATGAGCTATTCCTTGTATTTCTTTTTCATTTCTGCTCAGGCTAAGATTCTGCACCTTATAGCCAACTGCATTACTGTCTTATATGTCAGATGCTAAAAATATCAACATGCTTTTGTGCTGTCAGAGGCCTTATTTCAAGTTGAACCTGAATCTTTGAATTCGTATCACATTGTTTTAGAACCAGTCTGAAGGCCTGGTGTCTTTTGCTCTACATGTGTTAAACCAGCTAAACTTGTTTGATCTGAAACATCTGACGTGTGCTTCACTTCACTTCATCATCAGTACAAATTCATTGTGTGTGTAAACCATAGGGCTGGGTGGTATATCAGTATATCGATATATTCTTTATAAGCGATATGTATGAGGCAATACCGTTTATATCGATATACAGTAGTTTCATACGAGTGCATCTGAAAAATAGCGGAGCACGGAGTGAGCTGCTGCGGAGCAAGTGCATAATTCAATTTGTCCTAAACATGAGACATGCTCATGCTGTATATTAAGGGCTTTAAAACAACTCATAAGTTTAAATCGGTTGCCCCGTCAGATGCTCTGACAGACACGTGCTGACAGATAGGATACTTGCACTGTTTAATGCGTTTCAGACTTCAGTGAACGAGTGCGCCAAGCAGACGGAGCGCAATAGAATAGGAGTGCAATAATTCTGACTAAAATATACATTTTGCTAAAATATTTGTTGGAGAATAAATGTGCCATATGTAGAAGTTTAAACCTACAAGTAAGTATATTTTTATGATCGCACTAACTATAAAGTGACTGTAATGGGGGTAATCAAAATATGCAATTAGTCTGTGCTTTAAAAAAAAAAATTTCATTTTTAGTTTTAGTGAATTTAACTTCTGCTTTAAAAAGCATTATTTTGGTTTTTAGATTGTAATGTTTAACCCTTTTTGCACATAATATATATAGCATAGCCTAGCCTACATGGTTACATTCACTTTATTTTTCATAGCCTTACATATGTACATTGTTTGTTGGACAACATTGGGCAGGATGTGAAATATTTTTTTTTTTAACTAAAATTTTCAGCCAAAAATACCGAGATATTATTTTTTTGGCCATATTGCCCAGCCCTATGTAAACGTACTTGGCAATAAAGCTCATTCCGTTACAACCGTAGACAAAGCAACTTGTCTAGTTATCAATTCCTGTCTAGACCGATCTCAGAGTATTGACACTAAATGTAGCATTCAATCACTTAAATCATAGTTCTTGGAATAAAGAATTTTGTGTTTTCATAGTTAATCATTGTTTCCGAGTAAACATGCTAGAAGTAAAATAAAAGTGCTTTATGTATTGTGTAAACGCATGTAACATTCACTGTGTATCCTGTTCTAACTGGCTTGTATTTTGACTTTGACTTCATCCAGTGTTACTTGTGGTCAGCGTTTGAAGTCAACTTCAGCCCTTTTCTTTTTGTTGAGTCTGTCTGGCTCTGTCAAAGTGCATTAGTTCTGACCTGCCAGCAGTATCACACACACTAACAGCTCTGATAGACAATGCATTAGTGAACTTGTTGTTATCTGTAATTCCTCTCACCACAATGGGAATTGTCCATGATTAATTGGCATTTTATTTGCATTCTGCTTTCACAATAGAAAAATGGCATAGGCATGCAATGCTGCACGCAAGTATGCAGAGTGTCTGCTGGTTTCCCATGAGAGTTTGTTGTGTTTTGTTCCTGTAGGCGGCTGTAAAGCAGATTGGAGGCCGAACAACAGTCCTAAGCTGATAGATCTAATGGATGACACCGTTCCTGGCATTGGCACCTACGAGGACTTCAACACCATCGACTGGGTTAGGGAGAAGTCTAAAGACAGAGATCGGCATAGAGAGGTGAGCAGGTTATTCCACCCGCTTATGAAACATTACCCTCGTTCCTGCTTTAACACCTAATCGTTCTTTCAGATCACCAATAAGAGTAAGCATTCCACAGTAGCCTTGCTCTTCAGCATCAGTGATGCCTTTTCCGGCTGGCTTCTGATGCTTCTCATTGGACTCATGTCAGGTCAGCCCACATCTTGCCCACTTCCTGTTTACTTGCCTACTTAAAAGTCACAAAGTGCCTTGAAAAACAAACTTTTCTTCAACCTGCAACTGAATCACACATAAAGAGTGCTCCTTTTATAATCACTTTAGTTCCGTATAATACTATAGAAGAATAATGGTACATTTAATAAGAGTACAATATATTATTTTTTATATAAAAATTAGATTTTGCCCATGTTACTGTTGTTAATAAAAGTAAATTTTGTATGCTTTCCAATTCAAGATCAATGCTTTACTGTCAAATGTCTATTACCAAGAAATAGACGTGTAATATTATTATAAACTGCACTTATTAATGTAAAACAATAGTCATTTTATGATTAAATTATCTTTATTTTTATTACCCCCACAACCCCTCCCCCAAGCGCTACCAAATCTGCTCCTGGCACCACCATCTGTAGAACTAAGTGGCCCTGAGTATAGAAGCATATTTCTGCCATTAAAGGAAAAATCCTAATTATAACAAAAATGTTGAAAGTATGAAATAATAAATCACAATAATATGACCAAAATTATTTTGAATTACTGTCAATAATTATGCAGTTTTATCTCATAATTTTGAGTTTGTGTGTCATAATTACTGTTTATGACTGTAATAATTATAATTTACCAAAGCATTATTTTTTGTGTGTTTGTGTCAGAAATGGCCTTCCATATAAAATAAATTCATATTCTTGCTCATAAGTACACAACACATCACACAGCAAAATGATACCTCAGATGTTGACGAGATGTGCTATTACTTTCCTTTGCTGTCAGATCTATGACTTTAGCCTGGTGGACAACAAAAAAAATTTAAAAATCTCATAAACTTGCATTGAAGAAAGGTACTAGTGTCATATCTAGCGGCCAGAATATCATAGAAACTTGAGGATGAGCTTGGGCCAGTAAGCAACCACTGAGCAGGCTGCTAAAAACGGCACTGTACAACCACATAGCAACGCTCTGGCAAACTCCCACGATTCCCTAGCATTGTGATGGATAGTTTGCATTGGACAAACACCACTCACATTCCCTTTAGAAAATGTAAAAAGTAGTGATTGTGTATGATGTGAATTTAAGGTTTTTTGTGTCCCATCTCACCTCTCACCAGGGGCCTTGGCTGGAGGTATAGACATTGCTGCCCATTGGATGACGGACCTTAAAGAGGGTGTGTGCCTGAACGGGTTCTGGTTTAATCACGAGCACTGCTGCTGGGCGTCCAATGAGACCACTTTTCAGGAAAGAGACAAGTGTCCCCAGTGGAAAAGCTGGGCAGAACTCATGGATGGAGTCAGTGAGGTGGGTTCAGGCACATTGCGTGACAGATCTATGTTACCAGTGCAAGAGTACAATAACAAGAGGAGAATATTACACGTGTAATCATTTCATCATTATGTTGTGGTTTACGGCTTTGAATCAAATTTTGCATACATTTTTCCAGTGACATGAGAAAGTGCAAACATTTGTGGTTGTTGTTTTCGTAAAACAACACATTGTTACTGACATGTTGACAGATGAAGGACAGATGTATGTTTCCTTTTTATATTCTGTCTGATTATTGTAATAAGTGTTTCCAATTTAGTGGAATCCAAGATTTACAGGCCTGTTTAGCTCAAAGATTTCCAAATAATTGTATGACAAAGTGTTCTGCGAAGGCTAAATGAAATGAGTTCCAAGTGCCTCTCTTCACAGTTCTTTGTTTGTCACTGGTGTTGGTATGTACTACTGTTCAAAAGTTTGGGGTCGGTAAAAATGTTAAAATGCTTTTAAATAATAAGTCTTCTATGGTTACCAATGATTAACTTGTTTGTTCAAAAATATAGTAAAACTTGAATATTGAAATTTATTTTAATATATTTCATATATATATA